GTCCACAAAAATATAGGGAAATCTTACACAAAATTAAAACCCCAAACATATGATGTAAATGAAGAGTTTGAAGAGTATATCTCCTAATTTGAAATAATTGCAGATATCAATAATTAGTACTACTGGGTGAACTCTCTGTATTTAGCAGGTTGTCTCAGTGGAACTGCTAGAGCCATTCTCACAGAGTTAAGTCCCGTTGAAATAAGTAATTGTCTGGTTATCATTTTAAACATCAGGTATGGGTCTATTGAACGCTCTGAACTGTTTCGGACAAGACTCCAAACTAAAACAAGAGATAGAGATGAAACTCAGTCAGAATTAGTACAATCCATTCGTAAATGAACTAGCGAGCCTACCCCACTGCAGAGTCCTCACTAATGAATAGTTTGGCACTAGATCATTTCATTTATTCTATCCCAGATCCAGATGTTAGACTGCGAATAAGGGAACTATTACCTACACAAAGCAATGAAGCAGAAACCTATGCTGTAAGGCATAATCAAAGGTCAGTCCGCCAAGCACAAACTCAGGCTCCACAATTCATTAAAATTGATGGAGAACAAATGCATATTGGTTCATTAACAGGAAGTATTCACAATCTTGAAAGACGGAGAATGGAAATGGTAAACATATAAACCAAAACTAATTACAAAATTTGCCAAGAGAAGATAATCAATGGCAGGGTAAACCCCCATAGGTCACATTATCAAAACAAACAAGGTAGTCAGAAAAAAAAATCTAGTCAGTCTCAAGGACATCTATTCCAGAGACAAGGGAGACAACGTTAAAATGATTCCCAAACACAAACTCAAGTACTAATCAGTCCACTGGTCAAAATAGTAACGAATACTTTTAACAGGTCAAAAGTCAGTGTCATCCCAGGAAAGACCCTAAAATATCACAATAGCCCGTACAGGTTACACTTAAGACGGGTTTATTATTGATATAGGAACATGTTGATTACATTTACTTGTAGACACTAGTGCATCAATCATCATTCTAAGTAAAGAGCACCTTGGAAAGCTAGACCCTGATAACAATATAGCAGTACAACCAATATCACTGAACTTAATAATTGTGAGAGAGGAAAATAAAGCATTTCTTGGAATATGTTGTTTAGATATTGATCTAAATTGTGAAATGTTGAGACATGAATTTCTCATTGGAGACATAAAACTGAGTGGAATATTAGGTCTTTATTCCATGAGCAAACATTTAGTATTCTCTCGAAGGGGAGGAACGTCCAGTGTTTACGATTTCAAAATGAAATTGAACCTGCGTGTAGCAGAGTTGCTATATACGAGGATATAGTATTACCTCCAAATTGCGAAACTATTGTTTTTGGGAAGACTATAAGCCATTATTTAGAGATAATATGGTAATTGCGGAACCAATAACGCTATGGTTATGATAGACCAGGTGTCGGTAGCAAAGCCTGTTGTAGGCCCTAGTTTGGGGACAGAGACATTAAGAATCCTAAATATGAAAGAGGAAAACAGTAAATTATACAGAAACAACTATATTGTTGCTTCATTAGATGTGGTAAGCCTAGTTACTAAAATGGTAAAAATGGAAAAAGTACTCTCAAAACTTTCCTTGAAAATATGTATGGTTTAGCTGCAGGATGACATTATCATCTTCTCAAAAACCTTTTCTGTTCTCTTGGACAATATCAGGCAAGTCCTCACAAGGCTTCGTGATGCAAACCTGAAAATGAGTAAAGGAGGGAAGCCGGTAGTGCTATATGGACCTAATAATTAGGTAGGCGATGATAAGTCTGAAGCGGTACGAAGCTTTTAGACTGTACAAGGCCTAAACCGATGGACAAAAACAAGGATAGGAATTCAATATTTTTACCGCTATAAACTGTCTAATACAACCCATTTGGCGTAAAACCCTACAGGGCTGGCGCGGATAAGGGAGGGAAGCCGACGGTGCTATTTTTAGGCAGGAATAACGGGATAAACGAATTTTGAATAAATAATAAATATCTGTTTATCTGAAACAGCCAAAAAAGTTATCAATAATATACAATAAATTAAAATACTCACACCAATTTTATAAATCAAACAGCACAGCGATATTGCACCTCAGCCGATTCCCGGTCCATACAACTATCGGCACATCTCTTTAGTACCCTTCACTTCTGTCCATCCCCAACCCCTTACCTTTCCCCACCCACGTAATAACTCGTAACAATTACATCCTCCAATTTTTGTATGTGTTCCTTTACTAATAATCACACTATACACTAAAAATTTTAAAATGTCGGAACGATGAGTAGAACACATGATGAGGTTTATAAGAAAAAGGACATTGATAATGAACAGTCAGCTTTGGTTTTGCATGAACGGACAACAATAAACAGCACATGCATGACTCTAACCACTATCCACTAACACACAGTCCGTCGATGGGACTATAAATGGTAGCCCGTGTGCAAAAGAGTAGTCGACACGGAGGATAGGGTTAACATTAATTCGGCCATTAGAACTAGGTTCTCTTAACAAGATATTTAGAAGGTCTTCTAAAATATATGTACCAAACAAAATGTACAGAGTAGTCAGGAGCTGGTGTAGTTCGTAGCTGTTCAGTACCTCACCTCCGATTCAAGCTTGGTGCTGTTAAACGACTAGTGATAGGTTAAGGCACACATTAGGCCTAGGAACCGTCTTACAAAATATACATAAAGGATACACGTCTCCTTCTCTCCCTGTCTCTCTTTCCTATTCCTTCATCTCATTCTTTATCCCTTCTACCCATTTTCCGTCTTTTCTTCGTATGCGAGATAACCGAACTACTCGGTAGTGAAGTGGACGTAAAACCAATCAAATAATCAATCAATCAGCAACAACCGACTCATTTCTCTGACTGACATCGAGCAGTTTAGACGGTCACTGCCTTAAGCTCTACAAACCAGATCCACACGTCAGAAATGTCGTCAATACCACAAAAGCGTTGGGTAGGCATTTCACACAGGTGCAATTATTGTTATTGCCCGAGTTTTTGGTATTTGAGGTACTAACGGTAGATGAAGGATATTTTTTCACAAAAGCACACGATATGACCAAAGAGGGAAAAATATCTTCTAAATTGATAACATACCATTTATAGAGAAGCTAATTGTTATTCACGAGCCAAGGGAAGCAAATCGAGCTAAGGATAAGTTACTAATTCTATTGAGATTTCTAACTACCAGACTTCTCTCGAATACCGTCAATAGTGTTTACATTGCGGTACTGCTCATCACATTTTATTGTAAGTAATAATCTTTTACATTCCAAGACACTAGACAGGAGCGAACCTGAATTTATGTAACCCGCTCTGTTTCGCTATTTCTCCCATTCAGTGTTCACCACAAAAATTGACAAGAAAAACGACGACGGGGTGAAAAACGTTACAAAGGTATGCGTTTTCGAATCAGTTTTCAAGGATTTTGCTGCAAGTTAAATCAGAGTAGGGTCTTTTCCAGTCTTAAACAAACTTAATTTCCACCTTTAGCTTCGCAACAATGTTTTTTTACACAATGATGAAACTTGTGCATCAGAATATTTTTATCGCAGCTTGGGAGGCAATACGCTACTTTTTGTTGCTAAGTTAGCAATAATAAGTTACGCCGACTAGAATCAGAGCCTGTTTCACTATAATAGTCCTTTGTTTATATCGAACACAATTTTTAACTCACTTTATCACTGAATATCCGTTTCCTCCTTATTAAAATCCAAATAATTACATTGACATATTTTCATCACACACGGGCTCGAACCCTAGTCAAACATGTTAGTCTAGAGCAAACTATATTTACCCACTGTTTCATTGAACAGCTGCTTTATCAACAAGCAAATATAATTATGAGATCGCACAATGTTACATGATGTGAGGTAGGATAACGATCATAACTTGCGCATATATGTGTGGAAGATGAATGCAAATTGCGATAGCAAACGTGTTTGTTGTTAATTAAGAAATGAAGTAAAACTAAATTTGATTTCGTTTTCAACCCAAATATTTATTTCTTAGTTTGTTACAAAATTGAAGCTAAATTTATAAGATTTTCTTCTGTCATGTTTAATTTAATTTAGAAATTGGGTTGTCAGATTTTGTTTAACGGCCTTGATCGACACATGTACACTTTCCAACGCCAACAGTCCCATATACAAATACGTACACAGCTAACCCTAGCCGTATTGCACCTGGGCCAACATTTATTATCCGGGGCACTTACATACATATGTAACTCGTCAATCCTAGCACAGGCCAGGCAAACCTCTTGTTCGTTTATCAAAATGCTATTTCGCTGTTCTGTTTCATAACCTGGAATTCAGGCTCCATTCTTGACAGTTATACGGTAGCTGTAATATGTACTGCCATGCCAGTCTTCCATATTTTTTCCATTTCGTAATATTGAACAACCAGTGCTACCAAATAACACATTTGTGTCTATACTAGCTCAACACGGGGCGAACGAATGCAAAATTGCACGACTGTACGCACGCTATTTACAGCGAATTATGTGGTAACATAACGCTAAATACACTTTAACACGTGATTACATGGGGTAAAGTAGTTCGTTCCATCTCTGGAGTCCATTTTCCTTGCATTTCCGAAATAGCTGGAAAGGTCATTCCTTTCAATATAAAATTAAACATAGCTTTCAAATTATATATAAATAAATATATTTTGGTTTTATTAATATAAACCATTTCAATAAGACCTTCTAACCTTCTAAACCGTTGAATATAAATATTAATATGTGGGTTTTAAATTTACTTGAAATGGGTAGGCCAAGACATGGAATCCATTAAGATAAGATAGATTTATTTATGTCCATTATCAACATACGACATTTCATTGTTTCAATCTTCTCTTACTGGTCAAATTACTCCTGCAAATAATTTACATTTAGTTTGGGATGCTACTTGACCATCTATAAGTGTTCAAACGTCGACATCAAGTCACCTTATTGTGACCTTAACTGGAATACAATGTAACACCTACCTCTGCCAATCCGTCAATAATCCTAACAATAATCAGTGCCCAAGTCCCAACTTTTGCAACAACAGGAGTTACCAAGGTCAGAATGGCAGTGATCAACACGCCGTATCCAAAAATACACTGTCCTCCAAACTTTGTAGCCAAGTAACCTCCCGGTATTTGTGTGGCAACGTAGCCGTAGAAAAAAGAGCTGAGAATAAGTCACTGTGTACGCTCATCCCAGTCAAATTTTACAGCCTGGACGAATGAGAACATACTATATATGTGTGCTAAGATATTCGTATTAGGTCGGTTTACAAATGTGCCTTGCTGTTTTGTTTCCACTACCCCGGTTTAATCAGAACCCTGGTTGACTCTGAAATATTTTAACAGTGCATATGTTCTGCCGATATTGATCGTTTTCCCCAAAATATTTGCCCAAATACCGGAAGTGTCACTTTCAGGGTACAGTAACGCCGGTCCAAGGGCATACGTAACTCTGATAAAAGTTCGCGTTTTTTTATAGAACCAAGCCCCCAATATATCAAATTGTGATAGAAATGAAAGTTGATAATATCTTTTTATGAAAAATTAACATTTTTTTTTGGAACTGATAGTATGGTATATAGAACATTGATAGTTATCTAAAAAGTGTACCGATTTGGGTATAGTGACATTAGTTTTATCAATTTAAAGTTCGAAGTATGGTTTCTTGTGACACTGCGGTAGTGTTTTGTTGTTTTTCATGACATTGATTGTAAGTTCAAATTGTGGTTTTTGTTTAGACACTGCACATTACAGAAACGTGTATGTTTTAATGAAATATTTCCGTTGTGTGGTAATTACTATTGAAGCAGAACTTTAAATTCTTTCAAAGGAACATAAAAGCATACTTCATTTTTCGAATAACAACAAATGTCTTGATTACTCCTTATGCCTGTCTATATCTCAACTACTCAAATACTTGTACAGCTCAAGTGAGGGATATTATAATATCAGATAAGTTATACATAAATGATAACGAATGGATCTTTCAACCATGATATAAAAAACAAAATGTTAGTGCAAAATGTTTAATAAAGAAGCTTAATTAACCTGTTATAGAAAAATCTTCATGTTAACACAATAAACATATACATAAGTACGTATTTGAGTGGCAACGTAGCTGCATACATACGTATATAGATATAAAACATGTCAGTCGGACTACTTAATTTTAAATATCTGGGTATTTAAATGACATTCGTTATATTTGAACCTTATCGAACTAATCCAGTTAATACCTGTCCTTAATTTATTACGTCATTTGTTTGGTTTTTAATTCAAAATATCATAAAATCACTAAATGGTGATTCATTTTAAAAATATATAGTAAATACTAAACGGTAGTCAGGCTTAACACTTTTCAATGATATTTGGGTCATTTCAATTATTAATCACACCCTTCCTTTTGAACCAAACACCCTGATTAGCTTAGCATATATAAAACAATGTACCTGATTGGTTGTTGTTTTTGAACTGTCTAGAGCTGGTCCTGGGCACACACCGCTGTCTGTGTAATTTTGGTAGGAATTGGTATCTGTGTAGTTTGCCATGGAAACTATGGCAACGCTGAGGTTAAAACGAAGGGCATATAGATGGAAATATCCAATAAATGACAGGATTGTGAATGTGTGTCGGGCGCCATATCCTGTGATTAATGTAGAATACATATTTTAGTTAGAAAATACGTTCGCTGCATTGCATATAAGCAAACGGATACAAACCGTATCAATAGTTGCATATTACGGATTTTTAGTTCTTTGAATTACATAATTGAAATCAAAGACATGATACTTCATTTTGAAATGTGGTTATGGAATATTTCAGTAAATTTGATCATATCAAATAGACTGTTATCCTTTCCAGTACAGTAACATCACTGCCGAACGTTGTGTTCACGCCATCTATCTGTTATCGTTAATAGTATAGTAACATCACTACCGATGTGTTTTGTTTTTTGGGTTTTTTTTTTTTTTTTTTCTTTTTTTTCCTTTCTGTTACAGTTTATTTGGTTTTGCTCTTGTCTGTTTGATGTTATAGGTTTATATATTTAAGCATTGAACTGTTTTTGTATGGTATTTATGATCTATTTAAACGACACAGCTTTGCAAGCAAACAACATAATGCGCGCTTGCCCTCCACGAGGGAGTTATTTTTGGAAGATAATTCGAACTTTTCCCTTTGCTCATTTTGTGAAGAATCCAGGCGTGAATTTATTTGTTGATTGTATGGGAACCTGGCAACAGTCGGTAGACTCTATAACAGCGTCATTATTTGACATGTCGTCAGAAACTGAGGAACCATGGATGCGAGACGCGTGAAACTGATAGCGTTTGAAGTGAGTCAGACATTTGTCACGAACCCCTTTTGATGTTGCATCAATGTTTCAGTGTATATGTCTTTATGTATGTACATATGTTAATATCGGATGAAAATGATGACATAGGATAATGATGGCTGATGATGATAATGGTGATGATGATAATATGATGTCAGATGAGAATATTAAGAATACTATCTTATATGATGATGATGGGTATGAGGAAGATAATGATGGGGATGATGATGCTAAGAATTATGTCAGGATGATGATGATGATGATGGTGATGATGATGATAATAATGTAAGATGATAGTGATGATGATGATGTTTAGAAAAATGTCAGGATGATGATGATTGTGATGATTGAGATGATGATGACAGATTATGTTGATGATGTCATAGGATGTCATATGATGTCAGATGATTATGATGTTAATGTTAAGATTAATATCTTATATGATGATGATGTCTGATAATGACGATGATGATGATGTCAGATGATGGTGATGAAGATGATAATGTTAAGCATTATGCCAGGATGATGATGATGATGATGATGATGATGATGATGATGATGATGATGATGATGATGATGATGATGATGTAGAAGCATCACTACCGAACGTTGCTTTACGCAATCTATGTGTTATCGTTTACATTAAAGTAGCATCACTACCGAACGTTGTTTTACGTCATCTATGTGTTATCGTTAACATTAAAGTAACATCACTATCGAACGTTGTTTTACGCAATCTATCTGCTATCGTTAACAGTATAGAAGCATCACTACCAAACGTTGTGTTAAGCCATATATGTGTTATCGTTAACATTAAAGTAACATCACTATCGAACGTTCTGTTAAACCATCAGACTGTTTTGCTTACAGTATAGTATCATTGAACATACCTGTCTAACTATTTTTACGAGTCACAGATATGACGTAATACAGTGCATCCTATAGGTATATTTATACAGTAGTGAATACTTACCTTTATGTGGTTGGACATCACGTCTCCTGTATAGTGTACTTGTCTTTAATAATTTACTTGTCTCATCAGTGTTATTTATAGACGGCATGCCTGCATTTCTGTTGTCAGTATACTAACACAATACCGTTATGTCTCTCATCCTGCTAGTACAGTGATTTCTCGTACTTACATACCTAATATATATCATACTATATATATACGCACACAAACTAATTCTATTCACTTATCTAATAATATTGTGTTTAAGGACACCTGCTCAATATTGTGAATTACCAATTTCCATTGTGCAGCATCTTTATACCAATGTTACTAGTGTTGTGAAGAATCAAGTAAGCCCAATTTGATACTAATTCAATAAGAATAGGCTGGTTTTACATTATATAAAGTATTTCTAGCTTAAAGACATGGAACAAGATACACATTTAATATAGTGGCACCGACCAAGTAGCTTTAAAACGTTATGACACGTATACGTATAAACATTGTTATCTACCTGGACCAGCAAAGATAACAAGGCCAGACATCATAAATTGATATCAAATATAACATCCCGTACCATATCAATCAGTTAAGTGTAAATAGGGTATACACATGTATTTTTGCGTTTCGTTTGAATTGTTCTCGGCAAATAATGTGTCCCAGAGTGCTGATGTAGTAAAGTGATAAAGAAGTTATCTTCAGTTTGTAACATTATTTGAATCTACTGATTTTGAGGACAGTCAAAGAGTATACCGAAATGTCAACATAACCGAAGTTCGAACTTAAAATCAAGAAGGCTGAGGTCAAAAATGAACAAAGGGGAGATTAGTGAAGAAACCTTTGCAAATAAAGTACAAGGAGAAAAAGACCAAATGTTCCATACAACACCCGTCATTATGAATAAATTTAATTCCAGGTATTGCAGGGTATGACATCGAAACACCAGCTACATTAATAAACATAATGCATCGCCTTCAAATGATGCAATGAAATAGCCAATCGATTCATAACTACGAATACAGTGTGATTATCCGATCCACTTCCGGAGATGTTTTTATTTGAAGGGTGTGCAACGGTACTCATGACCTAATGTGACCTATGGATTGCCATTGTATTATGATTAACAGCGTTATCTTGTGGTATATATAGCTAGCGATTTACATGCTTGTACGTTGAGGCTGTCTTCTTATGATGTTTTCCTGCTGTTACGTTATTTCGCAGACTTTGAGTTATGATACTCTTTAGACTTGACGCTGTGGCATTTATTTGCTCGTGTGTGTTTTGACGCTGTCTGGTATGTGGTTTAGTTGTCGTATACGTTGTCCTTGTGACATGAAGCTGGTGTCCTCGTGACCTGAAGCTGGGACGTATTTGTATGGTAAGACCAAATATGATAACTGGGCACCTGTAAAGAATCAACCAAAGGAAATACGGAGGAAATTATAACTTTAATGATATTTACGTTTGCTATTCATTGATGTCAGAACAAGCGCATGTTCCTTTTATGACGTATACGTCTTGTATTATATATATTATAGATGTTTGTATTCGGAAACACCTTTGTTTGTCAATAATAGGGAAACGCATGTTTGTTTTCAAATAGCATGCTTTGCATCCGATAATTGTTTTTCTGTTCTATACTTTGGTACTTTATTAGGTATAAAATTAGTTTTTTAATTATTTTTGTATTCTTTGATATAGAAATGTGTATTCAACAACGTATGATTGTGTATTCAATAATATACATATGCTCATTCAATAATGCGTGGCTTTGTATTCTATGACGAAACCATGTTTATTCTTAAAAATGTTTACTGTAAAAGAACTTATTTCAGCAGTATCAAATTTCTGGGGTTATAAGTAATAGACACAGGTCTCTTCCCGGGTAGCTTTCTTGAGTAACAATCAACGTAGTTTTTCAATATTTTTCATTAAACTTTTTGCACGTTCATTATTCTTTAAATACTTTTACATGTGTAAAGGTACTATACTATTGTATTGCCCGTTCGTACGGGAGGTGTGTGGTGACACAATTTAGTGAATGACCTTTTTATTATATAGTATGAATGGTATATATTCATTGGTATGCAAGACTTTGATTTGAATGAATGAGTATGTAACAGTATATTTGAATGGCGAACGAACATCCTCCAATATAAAGACACATGTTGTACATAGGCTGACACAAGGGACGAAAACCTGCCAGATTCCATTGCTTGGAAATAAATGATAAAGTAAGATTAAATCACGTTCTTTGTAATATGCATACATTGAAAATGACAAATATAATGTACCAACGTGGTCTTATTAGCATCATTTATTAACAAAAACAAAAATCATAACAACACATATTTTACACGCAGATAGGAGACGAAACGTCCATCTAATGTAACCTTATCAGATTGAACGTTTCGTCTTCTATCTTTGTTAATCAATCCTTATCTACGTAAATTAAAGTGGCAATGGAAGTTTCCTTGACAAAATCAGTACAGACCTAATGTAGATTTAAAACAGTTAAGTTATAGTTATTGCTCCTTAGTTTAGGTATAGTGTGTCGTTTCTTTGGGAACCCTGTTCCAAGGCTGTTCTGATCCTTTGCCAAATATGAGAAACGTGACAAGTCCAAATAAATACAGATATTTATGGATATGTAGAAAACTATCTCCCATCTCGCCATGGTTTCCTGTCCATAACAGCAACAAATATATTATTTAAAATGTGTATGTGCATTATTATTATTATCATAAAACACTTATATTTTGATACAAAAGGATAAAAACTATATATCTCTATATTGTTTTATATACAATGTAGTGCTTCTTGTAACTGTTTAATGTTCGTATTTTGATGGAGAAATAATTGCATCAGACATTTTACAAACAACATAGTCGCGACGATCGCTTTAACTTCGTTAATTTAAAATAGCAGAGAACATCTTTTCATCTATTCATCTGGGAGAACTGATTTTCCCATTTTGAATGGTATTTTTTAAAAAGAAAACGCCTATAGGCGCCAGGTGACGTCATGAACACGAAAGAGTATTTGCACAAAAGTGATCCGCATAAGAAATTAGTCCGTCTTAATCAAATCAAAATAAAGTTACGAAAAATATTGTGAGGATGACAACACCATTTTAAGCGTACCTGTGCGTGTGGAGAAGCCAATGGCGGTAAAATTGTATCTAAAATATTGTCCTACATAGTGTTAAGTTTATGGTATTCCTCCGCGCAAAATTTCTGTTTGTTAACACTTATCACAACCGAGGACCTTGCGATTGAGGATCATTGAGTCTAGAAGTCATTTTGGAAAAAACAGCTTATCGCACAATGTTTTCAGGGTTTGCTGCTCGATTATTTTGGTATCGCTCTCACGTGCGGTGACCTCGCGATGTTATCCACGTGCTCGCGATGACAAAAATTGTTCTCATGACAACCCCTCAAAACAACGTTTTACTTGATACACAAAGAATGTGCAATGTTTAAGAAACCCGTCAAGTGGCTATTTGTAGATATATAATTAAAAGCAATCATCAATAGTAGGTTCGAAAAAATTAATTCATGTTTATACTGTTAGGTAAAACATAAAGTATATTGACCCAAATTACCAAGATAGTAAGAACTACTGTAGTTATATTTATGATATGAAATGTATCAACCAATCAGAAAAATTTCAACAGATTAAGGCAAGTGGAATATGTGACAATTTATTGATATTTGATTACCTGAACGTAATATCTGTGTTCCAGATCTTTTTTGTAAATTTGACGCAGAAAGTATGTTATATCTTTTAATGACGTATTGTAGTGAGTCTGGGGTCAAACATGGAACTTGACTCATACATTGTGAACTAATGTTATAAACGTGAATAATCTCCATAACTAACCTGATTATTTGTGATAAGGCCAACAGCGTAAGGTGCTATTATCCCAGGTATATTCCCGAAGAAATTGGAGATTCCAGAAAGTGTACCTGTGAATATAAAACATGCATTTTTGCATATATTATAGTAGACGTACATAAATTATGGATATGTAAAATTATTTTATATCTTTCCATGATTTTTAAATTAAATATATATAATAGCAGTTTTTCCTGATCACACTTTTTTTCTATTTTCATTGATTGGTTTATTTTTATTTAATATATTCTATGTAGTATTTTTTTATAAATTATTAAATCATCGCTATAATCTCAAAAACAAATAGCAGGATTTTCAAAGTAATTGCATAATATTGTTACATGTTTTGGTGCAGGCTTAGCTTGAAATATTGAGATATCTCCTGTACATGAAATAATAATAATAATTCGAGGTTCTGATATACCACTTCATCACAACCTAGGTCGTCTCAAAGTGGTTCACAAATTACTATCCGTGGTTATAGGACCGTTGCAACCAGCAGATATCATTCTCAGCCAACTCCCTGGGGAGCATTCAGCCGGTGCTGCCATTTCGGCGCTTACAGCTAGCTAGCATTCAACAATTCTAGCACTGCCCAACCACGTACTTATTTACAGCTGAGTAGGCTGGAACAAGCGGAGTGAAGTATCTTGTCCAAAGATACAACACAGTGCCGTGACGTGACATGACTCGAGCCCGCAACCCTTCGGTCACGAGCCCGGCGTCCTACCACTAGACTACCACGCCTCCAGTATATTGCTCTAGAGATTGTGGGGGAAGACTTGATCGACCTACAGAATGCGATTGTAAAATGAGACTAATGGAGAAAACCCTACAAAATCGGGGTGGTTTCCTATGTGTTCTTCCAATTGAAAAGACGAACGAATTTTCAGCTCTTGAATTAGAACTTGTGTAGTGAATTTGTTGTTGCTTAGTAAATACATTGTACGTAATATCTTGAGCAGAATAGAAAATATAATTGTAATATCTGGATAAATCTGACATATAATAACCCCTCGAAACAGCAGTATCGCAGAAACAATGATCTGATAGAAATAATACAATGAACTCAAATAACTGTAATATTCATATAACATCGAATCTGAAAAATTATTGCAAATAATTTCAAAACGAATGCAAAAAAAATGAAAGCAATTCATTTCTTTCAAATATTACAATCGGGATGACCAAACCAGTAAAATGTATGGTGTTTTAAAGGGGCCTTACCGGAAATATTCCTGGTATAATTTGTTTGTATTATATGTTAGATATGTTTTTAAGGAACAG